TACTTTGACTCAATTCACACACATTTACCACACCTTCAGAGTCTGAAGATTAACACCAAATTAGAGATAACACCGACTATTGAGGCGATGGTCGAGAAGTTGCCGAAACTTAAACGTTTTCAATTTAACACTCATTGAGTCCACTGACGGGAATGACACTGATTTGAGTGCATCAGAACCGGAAGTTTCATTGGAGCTCCGGGTGCTGTTCGGTGCTGTAGTAGTGATAGTACTGGCCGTATATTTAGGCTTACAATACCACCTCATATTATATGAAAATGATGTATATGATTTAATATTATATTTAATTTATTATTTATTATTAAATAAAAATAAGCAATTTCAATTAATATATTGAATTCAATTAATTAATTTCCACTTCGAGTGATAAGTTTTCTAATGTTATTCTACCGTGTGTTCCAAATATAGCTCGCGATTCTAAACGTTTATCATTTCAAAACTACATGAGATATCAAAACACTGTAAACGGTGTTTAAAAGAGGAAAGTATAGCATTTTATAATAAATATTTATCAAATCTGAGCTAGTACAATTAATAATATTTTTATAGACAATCTTACAGACATAAGTTACAGGTACAATAAAGGGAGCTAGGTGATAACTTTTTATTGTGATTTTTATAACAAAAGTATGATCTTTCAAATGCCCTTGGTACCATTACATTCTGATGTCTGGTTCGTCCAAAATTAACATTTAAACTTCACTGACTTCAATGGGAAAATACATGTATCACATTTTGTGCACTAATAACTTGTTAACCGTAATAGCTAGGTAATTGTCTTCAATTGTGTAGTTAAAGCGCTTGAGATTAGCTTTCGAACGAACCATATATTATTGGTCTAGGTGTTATGGTTCTTGTACAGTTCTCATTTATTTCAAAAACTACATTTCAAACCTTTTGTGATGCTTTTCATATGTAAAGTATTGTTTTTATATTGGATTTGTAATTTATGTAATTTGTAATATAAAATAATTTTTTTTTATTAAACAAGTTTACTAAATTGAAATACCCGGTTGAGTTG